GGAAGCCAGGCGAAGTAAGCCTCTGAAAATGCCAGGGTATTTGAATGGTTCTGGCTTGTTCATGGTGAACCATGGTGAACCTGTGCTTTTGCTTTTGTTTATTTGGCGGTTTGCAAACCGCAATGGCCGAAAACTTGAAGGCATGCGGACATGCAGATACAGGACGACAGGTGACCACCTGAGTGTACTTGAGACTGCGACCTGGGCGCCGACAGCGTGACGATGTTCGGCTTTGCACTTGAGGAGCTCCTGCGATCCTTGAGTTCAGATGCCGATAGCACTGAAAGTGGCAGGCTTAGCACTATCGGATTCCGGCTTAGCAGCTGCACGTGGCAGCAGATGGAATGATGTGTTCGTCTTTAGAGTTGGCAGTTCTGGGAGATTATGCCACAAGTTTGCGCAGGCACACTTTAGGCACTTCGGTCCATTTTTCCACAATCTACTTGGCGTGAGCGCACTGAGCCTAGGTGAGAGCAACAGCAACAGCATCACAAGCAACGAAAGCAGCTGGTGAGGAAGCTGCCTGCCAGAACGACACAGAAGGTTCTAGGCAGGCATGCTTGCCCTGCGAAGACTGAGCGGACTGAGCATACACAAGAATTCAAGTCCAACTCCATCCTTTAGTAGATTGCCTCAAGGACGATGTTGGTCCTGCATAAGCCGACCTGCGGGCACAAAGCATGCTAGCATCATCTAGCATCTATTTTTGTGCGTCATGTGTCCTTGAGGCTCTTCCAATCTCCGGTTGGGGATGGTTGTAGATAGCTGCATAACTAGTGGTTAATCCCTGTTATTTACTGTAGTTGTCCCATCACGGCCAGCCGACGCCGCGTGACACATGCGCTTCGACAAACAGAGTGAAAAGACTTTTGGCTGCAGGACCAGGATTTGACCTGTCAACATGTACCACCAAATTGTGTGATTTACCCCGGCGTGAGAGACTTTGCACATATTCAGCACAGGAATCCTTTCTTGTTTGTCCGTTCGAAGCCATTCCACAGCCAGAGTGCTTAGTGCAACGCATTGCATGAACATGTGCTGGCAACAATGCCAGGCGTGTAGGTCTGAATATGTGAATGTGTGATAACGTGTATGTTTAGGAAATGCGCTTGTTGGCAAACATCAAGCAAGCAAAGTGTATACCTTGCACGGAGTGCCACCCTGCCGGAGATGGTGTGATGATGCATCATCAGAAGAATCTGAAAACCCTTTGTATTGGCAGGACTGGGAGGGCTTCATGCTTTTGGTGAGACACGAACGAGCGGAAATTATGACTCTACGATATGGACCGGGGTCCCAATTTCAGATACATGAACCCTATTGACCGTGCTACAAATTCCTTGGCAAGGTTTCGTGGGTTTGATGCGGCACAAGAGGTGTGTCACGAGTAAGAGCGCCTGCACTAGAGAAAAATGATGAAGAATGACCAACATTGCTAAGGAGGTCATTCTTTGGTTGCAATGATCTGACTTGCCAGGGACAAAAGCATCAGAGCAGACAAGCTCTTCGAGGTGTGCCGATCAATGCGGCTGCGATTATTCAGAAGATGTGAAAAGTACCAGCCCCGTTGATGACAGTGACAGTGTTGTTCACTCTTGATTTGTTGGATTCGTGTTTGACTAGTTGAATGAACTTACACTTGCTCTGTGTGTGTGTTGTTCTGTGAGGTCAGCCTGGGTGCTTTTGCAAACAAGAATGTGTAGTAAAGTAGGGAAGCGGCATGTTTCAGTCTCCATGCAGTTCTGGCAGTCTTGCCCATGATGGCAACAGGTGTTTCAGACACATGGCAAAGACAGCAAAAGTGCCGAAGGACAGCAGCGAAAGTGCAGCATTGACCAAAAGACAAGAATGTTGCCGTCTTCGGACAGGAGTTCAAACCCAAACTGGGATTCGCCGCACTGTCACAGGTGCAGAACTGGCAGGTGGAGTGGGTGCAGTTTAGCAAAACACTCTTCAACAGGTAGCCCGAGCACCGCGTCCTTTGTACCGTCAGATGCCGTTCTTGTCTCAGAGACCATCGAGCCAAATACCTTCGGTTCTCACCGAATGGTGCTTACCATGATGTTCACCAGAATTCTCGCAAACCCAGTTTCCACATCAAAAATTTGTAGGAGCAGAGTGGTGATTCCGGTAGTGCGAGTGATTTTTTCTGAGGTGAGCCGCCCGTGTGGCGACTGGACAGGAGAGCAGAGTGATGATTCTGGAGAGGCTGGACAAGCAGCCAAAGTCGCATTCTCAATGTGGGATGAAAAGCAGGTCTAATCGAGTGGATCTCCCTTGATCGCGGCTTTGCAGAAGCTGGCACCACCCTGTATTTATGAAATATTTTGCACATACTAAGACAGTCACTATGAGCCTCAAAGTGAAAAGCTGGAGAGTCTGAACATTTGAGCATTCGCCGCGCTGTGGGGATGGAGGCACTTGGCTTCGCGGCAGACATTGCTGCTGATCCAGAGGCTCAGGCCTCAGCCATCCCCTGGCCAGGCCACAAAGCAAAAATTTGGGGATTTGAATCGTCGCACCCTGGGAAATTCAAATTTCCATGCAAAGACCTCTGTCAGGGAGGTCAGTGGGCACACCTCTCGGCAGTTTTAATTCCCAAACTAAGCTGTTGACGGTGTTGTTCCAGATTCGATGGGGAATGCATGGGAATGCGTAACAGTTTTGGTGGCTCAGAACTGAGGTGGTCGCTGAGATGCAGAAGGAAAGCCAGCCAGCAGCAGTGCCAGCGCCAAGACCTCAATCAATTATCAGCAGTGCCAGCGCCGCAATTAGTTTCTGTTGTGGCATGTTGTGGCCAACCCGCCCAGGCCTTCCAAAGAGGAGGCTCAACTTGATTGCTGTGCTTTGCCAAGTTCCACGTTCTGGTAGGGGGCTGTAAATTCTACGGTTCTGGCCTCAAGTTGCAGTTGTTGTCATAGTGGCGGTAGTAGTGGCGGTTGGCGGTTGGCAGTAGCAGAAGTAGCAGTAGTGGTGGTGACAGTGGTCGTAGCGGTAGTCGTCATCGTAGTAGCAGAAGTAGAAGGAAGTAGAAGTAGTAGTGGTAGCAGCAGTAGTAGCAGCAGCAGCAGTAGTAACAACACTACTACCACCACCACGACTACTACCACCACCACCACCAGAACTACTGTTGCTAGCACTAGTCACTACTAGTCACTACTTGTTGTTGTTGTTGTGGTGGTGGTGGTGGTGGCTGCACGTGTTGCAAGAGTTGTTTCAATCCATGCCTGCCTTTTGAGAACAATGTGTGCTTTTTTCTGTTTGCATTGCTCCTCGTCCAGTCAGAAAGGTTTGCCGCCCTCTCTCCTTTCTCAATCAGGTGGAAGAGACTCAAGAAGCTTGCCGCATTGAAGGCTGCTCCAGAGCTGGCTTCAAGGTGAGACTGCCCGGCAGCCGGTAAAAGCTTCATGTGACCATTGGGTTGGTTGACGAACTATGGAATAGTTTGCTATTAGGTTGGAGGCCATTACAATTAGGTTGGAGGCCATCTCTAGTAGGAGGCCATCGCTATTATAGTTGATGTGACTCGGTGGCAACAAACCTGAAGCTCTCAAGTCAGGTGTATCGGCGAAGACCGTCGGAAGCAGCGAAAGAAAACACGGTCACTTCCCGTCGGAGGTGGGGTGTTTTGACGTGTGTTCTAGTAGTAAGAATGCTCCTAGTAGCGATGCCAGGAGCCCCTAGTAGCATTCTTGCTCCTAGTAGCAAGGCCAGGAGCTCCTAGTAGCTTCTTGTTATATATATATATATGGATATGGAATGATATGGACCATGGGTGATGTCAAAAGAGTGAACCATGCGCTAGTAGCTGTTTGATTTGCTCTTTGGACCAAAGCTCATGAAAGGGACGTGTGGCAAGTTGCTGTCAAATTTATACAGTACACCGTTGCCGGCTGAACAATTTCTGTTCACTGTTTCTGGATACTGGATGCCGTAGTCAATTTGGGCGCTTGGTGCCAACCCCTCAACATGAAGGTCTCAGAAGGTCTTTCAACATCCAATATCATAGCCTTTCATGCACAACTTGGGAGAATGCGGCTTCTTTTGCAGTGCAGGAAGCGTAGCCGCTCGCGGCAGAGGGCAAGGAGTTCAGACCTGCTTGTGAAGCACGTTCATGTTGCTTGTTTCAGTCCAAGCTTGACCCAAAACAAGGTGGGTGAAGAGGTACTGTATGACAAGGTATGACTTGCAGAATCCAAACCTTTCAATTGTCATTTGTCATTCAACCAGTCGGTTCTTAGGATTCGAGCAACTTTGGATATCCAAGAGAGTTCTGTCAGTAGCACAAGAAGCACTGCCCATGTGGAGGACAGAGATGTACAAAGATCTTTGAGCAGTGCCTGTGCTCACGAAATATCATTCGACTTGAGACCTTTGAAATATCGCATGACGAACAACCATTTCCCGGCGAAGAACGCGAGTCATGGACTCGGTCCGCGGGATGGACTCGACCACTTGCGCAAAGGGGGTGCCTGGCTTTCACTCGATAGACGGAACAGCTCCTGAAAGCCGAGAAGGTCTTCATGCAGCGTCACCGCTGGCTGCCTAAAATGGACTGGAGGGTTTGAAAATTGCTCGCGTTTCTTTCTGAATGTGACAGCAGGATGCCCAAACCACTTGTCACAGTCTTTCAGACTCCAACCTATGCCTCAGATGCATTAGGCTCAGGTGCGTTAGGAAAGAGAGAGAGAGAGAGCGAGAGAGGAGAGCGCACAACACTAGGCCGAACACCCACAAACAAGCAGATACAACCCAGAGCCTATGCGTGAAAGCAGCCCGCCATGTCCATTGCCCTTTTGTGACAACAATTGCTTGGGATCACACGAAGGAAGTGAGAGGCCAATCCTTGTCATTGATCGCATGGAGTGGTCATTGCTATATAATGCAGAGCAAATCGAGCTATCATCTCTCCCAGAAACACCATGACAATGCATAAGAATGAGGGGATAGGTCACGATAGGCTGGATGAAATAGATCATGATAGGTAAGTTTGCATAGGTCCAAAATTCAACGACAACCGAGCGCCCCGCGCGCATCCGTGCCATGAGACTTCAGCGCCTGGCTGCTGCGCCACTCGCCGCCGCGGCCTCCGGGCTTTTGCAGGAAAGACGGCAAGCAAGATGTTGGATCTTTAATTCCCCAGCACCTGCAGCACCTGAGGCAGGAACGGGAAGACGGGAAAGATCATTTCAGACCGTGTAGCGTTTTGAAGGTTTCTGATTGAACAGCTCAAGGGATGGCGGCATGATAGGTGTTGTGAGGTGCTATTTGCTGTAAACCATAAACATGTTTTTTGTTGCTTTGAGGCCAGCTCTTTGCATCGCCTTTGGCTTTATGCTGAGAAGCCGTTCTTTTTGCTTGATGTGTCCAGGGATTTTTCATAAAGCGATTTGAAGAACCAAAAGAACGACGATAAATGCATCATTCACGTGTTTCTTATATATATAGTCCTGGGCATTGGAAGAGCAACATCTTCGAACTCCACAGAGCTCAGAGGTGATTTGTGGGCAGAATTTGGTGTGAAACGTGCCTCACTGAAGCTTGGTGGAGATCTTCAGCTTGAAGCATTGCCATTTGCCTTTCGACCTGGAAAGGACGAGGCACGAGACCAATCAGTAGTGCCCTCCCTCTCCAACAATCTGTGCAAACGCATACCGTATACCCCTTGAAGTAAAACCTATTGGCATACCGAGGCTCAAAGACTCCCGATATGAACCATGAGTATGATCCCCGGACCCTTTGACCGAACGAATGCGTTCCGGCAATGGCAAAGGAGGAATGCTAAGTAAATCTTTGGAGCATTGAGGATACATCACCAGCCGATTGAAGACAAAGTCTTTGCGACGTGTTGCACGCTTTTCAGAGCCACTTAAAACGCCGGAGGATTTACAAAGGATCCGAAATATGACTGGAGAGTGCATCGACCACAAGGAAAATCCTGGCCTGCGCGTTGAGCCAAATTTCATTGATGAAAGAGAGGAGCAGGACACGATGCTAAAGCTAGGTACTTGTCAAGTTGACAAGCATGTTTGGTTTACGTGCAGCCCTGGAATTCCCTGCTTACATGTTTCTTTATGGTTCGCGTGAAGTTCAACTCAGACTGATCCTTTGCTGCCTCGTGGCTTTACTTGCGACTTTCATGCTGCACAAATGTGTACAAGCTTGCCTGCACCCTTTCAAGTTGGTCAGGAGCTTGCCAAAGAACTCCGAGAGGTTATAAGAAAGTATGGTTTCTGCTTCGAAGCAGAAATGGTTCACATGCAGCTGATGGACGCGAAAGGAAGCACCCAAGACATTGGCCAGAATCGATCCCAGCGAGCGACCGGGCGGCCTGAATCGCGTGACGATCAAGTTGGGATCGTGGCACCTTGGGGATATGGGGCTGACCTCGACACAGCCCAGCTGCCCAAGATGGTGCGCAAGATAGTGCAGCGATTGACTGAGAAAGGCTACAGACTTGGCCCCTTGAGAGATTGCACCATTAATCACCGCACTGGGTCTTTCTTCATGATTCATCCTCATGTAGATCCACTCACAGATGGCCCTCATGTCTTTGTTCTGGGGATCCTAAGTGGCGCAGTGCTGACCTTCACACCAGATGGAGTCGCAGGTCGAAGAGGTGTCGAAGTGGAGCAAAAGTCTTGGACCGACGACGATTTGGATGTCCTGATCCGACGCCGCAGCATTGCAGCATTCACTGGCGATGCACGCTACCATTGGCGGCATGGGATTCGTGCTGGCATGGAGCTGAAGGCACCCGAGTTAGGTGCCCATCCCGTGGTTTGCGACTTTTGGGGCTCTATGAAGTACATTTTGCCGCGGAAGGAGGAGCGGTTTTCTTTGGTCCTGGCTTTCGCTGATGCGTGATGTTGACGCAACTTGGCAGATGTCCACCAAAATGGAGGATACGTGTAAATACTGAACTGTAGGTTGGCCGGCACGAGATCATTCAGTGGAGAAAAACACGCGGATTGACAAGCAAGGGATGGTTCTCGGCAATGGCAGAGCTGCCGTCCTGAAGCATCGGCCAACAAGACTCAACATTGACATCATTCATACGGCAGTGACATCACAATCTCGAAATGTTGTTGCATGGTTTGTTAGATTGTTTGTGAGTGCTCGTTTTTTTAAAGAGTTTAGGTTGGGGCCAAAGGACACATTGGGAGGGTGAATCTGACTTCTCAGACAGACACATGAGGCCATATACAGTATACTTAGTGTTTGGGCTCCTTTACTTGTTCAGACTGCATGAGAACGGTGCGGCACCAGCAAAGCCCTAAAACGGCACAACGGTTTTAAGGTTTGAAGGGGTTCTTGATATGAAGCTGCAGATGTTGAAAACTCTGCGTGTTCAGTACCAAAAACACCAAACATGCAGACCAACATTCTGTGCAGCTACATGATGAGGAAACACTTGCTTAAAATGGTATATAGTATATAGCTTCTCAACTTCATGTCACCATGATGGCGGCTTGCAGCTCCTGCGTGGAACCTGTTACGGTGCAACCAATGGCAGTCCAGCCAGTGCCAGTGCCCAAGCCAGTGGCTGTTCCCAAGCCCATGGTGGTCACAAAGCCATTGGTTCCTGGGCGGCATGAAGGGGGGCTAAGCTTGCCAAAAAAAATAAGACAAGTGAAGGGTTTGCGTTTGGCACATGACAGTCGCAGCTCATCATTGATGGCTACAGACCAATGGCATCCAACCATCCACCAAATCATGAAAATGCATCCGCAACATTCCACAAAACAAATACACCCATGCAGGAACCCAAAGAGTAAAACCGACTACATTCAGGCAATCATCGATCTATCACTCAGAGCCCTGAAGCGCACTTGACCGGAACTTCCAAAGACAACAGCAACATGCATCAGAGATGCTTCGACATGTCCTGCAACATGTCACAATGAAGAGACTATATAAATTGTTCAACCATGCCTATGTTGAGTTGATTGGACATTTACGCCCCTTCAACCAAAATGTAAAACCCGATTCTAGATCAAAGGTGCCACCCCAAATGAAGCTATGGCTATTAACGCTTGTTCAGCACTGCATGCTTAGATGAAACTCCTCGGCAATCTTGGCACGTGCGAATTCGACAAAACTCCCTGGGGACGGGGGCGGTTTCTTTTTGCTACTAGTAGCAATGCCCTTTGTTACTAGTAGCGATGCCCTTGTTACTAGTTAGTAGCTTTTTGTTACTAGTAGTACCGCCAGGAGCTACTAGCAGCTTCTTGCTCCTAGTAGCGATGCCCTTTGTTACTAGCCATTTTCTGAGGTTGCCGCCCACCAACCGGCTAAAGCTCACCAGCCGCTTCCAAAAGCTCGTGGTCGTCAACTTCGACTGGTGGCAACTCCTGTGCCTTTACGTGAGTTGATCTTTCCAAGTTTCTGTTGTTACTGTAGTTTTTGGACCCGGAGGTCGACCACGAGCTTGCTGTTGAACATAGGCAAGATAATATATATATTTATATATACGTATTATATTGCTGTATATGCAAGATCGCCCCCCCCAAAAAAAAATGCAAAAAGTGTGTTTAGGTCCCGGTCCTGGCATCTCAGGTGAAAGCATCAGAGCTAATTGCAGAAGCAACAGAGGCCCGGTCGCCGGGCAGGAGCTGTAGGGGATAGACCTGGAGCGCGTGAAGGAGTGGGAAGGATGAAGATCTTGAGATCAACATAAAGATCATAAAGATGAAAGGTGAGAGCATGCCAAAAAGACACCACTGCTCTTTTTCATGCGTTTGCCGTTTGCCGTGCGTTTGCCGTGCCAAAGCGATCTCACGAGGTGCTGCAAGGGCGACCGAACTCCCAAGCTTCGGGCCATTCATCGGCACCTACGCCATTGCCCCGGAAGCCGAACGAAGATGCATCGGGCGTCGCTGAAGGCCTGGGATCCATCCAGATGTTCTCAGGAGATGCCGTGTGATTTGTTGTGATGCATCAAGCCTGTGTGTGTGATTCAACCTTCACACAAAGTAGGATGTGTGAGAACAACCAAGTTTTGGCTGGCACTCCAAACTCCAACCATTTTTGGCCTGCATGAGACCTTTCATGTGTCTTTGTAGGTATGTTTTGTTCAAAAAAACTAGAAGTGCATGATGTGTAAGTTGTCGCTTGTGGGTTGATTCCTGGATTTAGTTTGTCTTTCATTCTTCTTTCACCCGCGCTTCGAGGCAGTTCCTTCAGGTCTTCAACAGCTCGATCCCGATCACAGGCTCCAAGAGTCATGGGTCCTTCTGGTCCACTGACAACAAGAAATGTTCAACCTGCACCGTCTAGAATATTTGGGGGGCTCACGGTTGTCCAATACCTGTCTCATGTTCCTGGTTTTGCTTGGTGATGTTGTACTATGACCCACTGTTCTTGACTCAGGGCGCGAAACAGCCAGCTATGCACCGGGCTCAGCTTGACTGAATGCGAAGGTTTTCACACGTATTCGCACTTTGCCAGAGGTTCGCCAGAATAGAAGGCGTGGCGACGCAAATGCAGCAGGAGCTTGATGAGGTAAAGGCCTTCTTTGACAATTGCCGGGGGGCTCACTGAATGTTGGCCCAATCATGCACAACCCCCCAGTGATTCCAATGTTCGTTCTTGTATGTTTGTTTGTGCAATTGGTTTATCCTTTGGCGGCTGCATGAAACGAGTGAAGAGCTAAGGTTGGGATGCAGAGCACAAGGACAAGCCCTTTGACATCCCAGAGCCTTCGAACCCACCCGTCCAGCCCCAGCGTGTTGTGCATCCGCAAGTCCGGCCACCACAGGAGCCCTGCACAAGCAGCGGCTTCAGCAGCCCCACTGGCGATGCCACACTCAGACACCCAGGCCAAAGCACGCTCAACCCAACCCTCGTGTATACAACGGTCCGGCATGCTCCACTGGCGACACCAAACTGGCAGTGGGAACTGCAGAACCGCAAGTGGCGCGCCAACGCAGAGCACATTGTCAAGTTGGAGTGCCCTGGATGCGCGAAGCAGACGTCAGGTAGAGTCATGGAGTTATCAATCAAGTTCGCAACTAGTTGGCTAAGTTCCATCATCGTCCATGAAAGAGCTTTGGCAGTTTGTACAGTCCAGTTCGTAGTTCTTGGGAATCATGCGCGGACCGTGAAAGTGCATCAGTTGCATTGTTTCACATTGTTTCACGTTACTTCTCATTGTTTCATCTTGTTGCACAACGGGGTGCCGGCCACTGGCCATCAAGGTCCGACTGGGCGCAGCGTGTCAAGGAGGTGGAAGAAGCAGCTTCTCGTTCTGATGAACGAGCTCGCCTTGCTGAGGACACGCTCAAAACGCCGTGGTGTTTCAAAAAAAGGTGCATGAAGACGACAGTTTTCTTGTTTTCTTTCTGTCATTTTTGTGGCGGGGTGGCGGATAGCCGAAGGCCGGCCCTTGAAGGGACAAGAAGGTAAGCAGTCGGGCTAGTATCACCAAGAAAGCTACTACAGGGACGCAGAAGGGCCCTTCGCAATGACTTGGTTCTGAGATGGGGAAACGGAACCTGGTCATGGTGTCTTCAACGTGCAGACGCACCGCAGGAAGCCCATGGCCGCTTGCTTCAAGCAAAAGCCGACCTAGCGGACGCCCTTCAGCCGCACCCAGATCGGTACCGGAAGACATTCGGAATGCGTCCGATCGCTCCGTTCGTGGCAAAGCCCTTTGTTCCCAGTAGCGATGCCCTTTGTTCCTAGTAGCGTCCTCTTGTTCCTAGCAATTAGTAGACCAGGAGCGCCTCTAGTAGCGTCCGATCGCTCCTAGGCATAGACTATCATAGACTTTTTGCATACGTTTGCAACGTAATTTTCATGTGTACTGCTGTCGGCGTTTGAAAGGGAGAAGGCAGATGGTAGACTAGACTGATGAAGCTTGACACAACAATTGGCCTTGGTATGCCTTCTGGTGTTCAGCAACGGCAGGAAGCAAAGATTCGAGAAAGGCAATTGATGGCAGAGGTCGCAAAGCTGAAGGAGGAGCATCAAACAGCTCTGGAGGCTCAAGATGCCAGCCACAGCCTCATCAGCTTCAGAGAAAGCCGATCAATGATTCACCGACAGACCGAGCAGACCGTTCGATTCATCGGCTTTTCAACCTCTGTTCAGACCTCTCGAGGTTTGAAAAGGCACCAGGATGAGAGTTCAGACCTTGAGACAGAGCTCCAAGGTGGGAACAGATCGGGAATGCACTCGACGGTGACTCATCCGAATTGCATTCACCCATCTCATTCCACTCAACCCTACATTTTTCAGTGACCCGCTTTCCATGTTTACTGTACTTGTAGCTGCTGAGAGTTGAGCAGGTCTCCGCGAAGAGGTCAAGGCCTTGGAGGATGAGAGAACGCAGATTCTCTCTGAGAGGGCTCCTTGGCCGGCATAGCATGACGCTTGCAACGGCACACTTGGACTTCAGATCAATTGAATATTTTTGATGATTTTTGATGTCCTTTAATGTCAGCCTTGCTACTCCAGTATTGTCCAGCTGTTGATTATTTCTGAGACCTCTTTGGCAAGTGTTGTTCCAGGGAATGTTTCAATCTAAGGATGTGCTGCGAGAGGAACTGGGCTCTGCTTCCAAAAGCCTTGAGGCGCAGCTGCAGCATGGAGTGGAGCTGAAGAACGAATTGGCCAAGCGAGGCCCTTGGATCCAGCCAAAATGAATCTTGACGCTGACCACTCTTGAAGGTGGCTTTCTTTGGCTTGTGCGGTTCTGTCTTCCTTGGCTCCAGAAAAGTTGAGGTTGCACTCCGAGCTGGATGGTCTCAGAGAACGAAGGAATCTTGGCAGAAGACATTTGAGGCTGATCGCAGTTGCGGTATCTTCGCTCATTTTGCATCATGTGGATAGTGTTTGTATCATGGACTACGTAGGAGGGCGGCTATGAGAGGATAGATGTGGAAATGCTGGTGTAGGAGGATACTGTGGTAGGTGTATGACAGTCTCAGTATGGGGAACCCGCGAGAGAGATCAGCGAAGAAGAGGGGATGCTGCAGCGGGTCAGTCACTAGGCTAGAACAGTTTGGAATGTTTGACTGAATGGAGTGGAAGATAGTGGAAGTCCAGAGAGTGACCTCCATACAGAGTGCAGGTACGCAATGTTGCTCACCGGTTTGCAACACGCATTGCCGGTCACATAGATGTTCTTTGCTTTCAACCGGGGCCCTGATTGGTTTCTTCATGTTCTGCCAGTGCTCGGCCTGCGAACGGTTTCGTGTAGTTTAGAAAAGAAAGGTGGCTGCTGGATGACAAAGCATAGGATGCACTGTTAGCGGTGCCATGCGTACAAGGACGTGGCTGCCCACGTCAATGTGACATGCTAAAGCGATCTAAATCCCGTGGCATTTGCGTTGGCCCCCTGGCGCCCCCTTCGTGCTTCCTTGTTCCAATTGCCCATGTTTGGCCCATGTGGCATCGACTAAGGGACGCTCACCAGGATTTGGAGCAGAAATATCGACATCGCATCGAAGAGCTGCAGGCCGGCTTAGCCACAGCGCGGCAGACGATCGAGGCCCAGCAGGCTGAATTGATGCTTGGGCTGATTGATGTTCGTGGACGCAGAGTAGATGCAGCAATGTGTGCAAAGGTCGAACGATATCACATGCGGATTCAAAAGTCACGTCATGTATGATGCATTGATGCACAGATCCCCAGCAAGTAGACCCAGGAAGAGCTCCATGACAACACTGCCGGCTTCAGAGCAGTTGAACCATTCATGCACAGACTTGGATGAATCTGCTGAAGTCCATCAAGCAATGCAGAGAGCTATGGAGCAACTGCAAAATGAGTTGGCAACAGAGCAAACTGTGGCAGAGGCCACACGGGATGTGATGTCAACGTCAAATTATGATGCGGGCTAAGATGCCCCGGCCGTATTCTTTTTGATATCATGCTGAGCCTTCAAGCATGAAGCATGCCTATGTGTTGTGCTTTTGGCAGTGGCACAAGCATGTGTGCGGCAAATGTGTTTCAAGTGTCCACACTAAATCAGACCGTGCTGAGAACAATCAGGTATCATTTGTTCTCATTCAAGGTCGTTTCGCTCCTTCTGATTGTGATATGATTACTTTCATCGCAGGATCAGCGGCGCCTCTCCTCGCATTTGAAGCAAAAGTTGCTCACATTGGAGGAGGAGCTGGGACAGTCTCACAGGCACTGTGAAGAGCAAACAGGCCGCGAATCCAGCCTCAAGAGACAGCTAAGTCAGAAAGAAGCTGCTTTGGCAAAGGCGAGGCAGAAGATTCAGACCTTTGAGTCTCTGAACAAGGACCTGGACCAGGCTGTTGCAGACCTCCAATTGGATTTGGCAGGAACAAAGAGTCGTGAAGAAAGCCATCAAAGTCGCATGTTTGCTTTGAAGCAGGAGCTCAGTGAGAGGGACTCAGCATTGCGCGATCTGAGGAGAAAAGCGGAGGCATTGCAGGAGCGCAAGCAGCGTGCAGAAGCAGAAGCCAAACATGCACGCGAGGAGCTCCTGCTGTCGCAGCAGGCCTGCGAGGGCTTGCAAGGCCGCAAAGCTGATTTGGAACAACAGGTGGGTGGCTTGGAAAAAGAATGTGGCAAAATCCCAGAGATGTCATTGGCAAAGGATGAGTTGGAAACCTCCCTCAAGAAGCAAATATCCCAGCTGGAAGATGAGCTGGCTAAAGTGAAGCTAGCTCACGACAGTGACCAGCTCGCAATAGCAGCGTTGCAGCAGCAAGTGGTCGAGTTAGAGCGAGAGTTTGGCATCAGGCAAGAAGAGCTCGACAGTCATGTCGCTTCTGGTGCAGCACTGCAAGCACAGACAGCAGCACTTGAGAAGGAGCTTTGCAAGACAAAGGAACAGCTTCAAGAAGCTTCCAGCGAACAGTCTGCTTTGCAGCAGGCCTTGGAACGGCAGTCAGGCATCGAAATAGAGTTGCATTCCAAGGCCAGTAGCCTGAAAGCTGCCCTGGATGAAGCACAGGAAAGGCACCGCAGTGACACCAGCAAGAATCTGGCATTGGAACATGAGGTGGCTCAATTGGAAGCCGAAGTTTCCACCCTGCGGATGTCTGTCAAGAGCCTAGAAGACAAAACTGCTGCGCAAGATGAATCCCATCAGATGCAACTGGCTGAAGGGTTGCTATTGCAAAACAAATTGCAAGAGGCAAGTGCTCAATTGGCTCAAGCCATGATGACTGAAGAGATGCAGCAAGAGTTGATCTCCCGGCTGCAGGGAACTTTGAGGTCCTCGGAGGTTGACTTGTCCCAAAATCGCACCGACCTCGCAGCCCAGGAGGCTTTGAAGTCACGTTTGGAAGAGGATTTGGTTCAGCTCCAGACTGATGCAAGTCAGGGCCAGAAGCTGATCAAGGAGCTTCGGGCACAGCTCAGCAAATCAGAGGATGAGCTCAGTGTGGCCAACACCGCCTTTCAAACTTTGCAGAGCATGGAAACCGAGCTTCGAAAACAACTTGCTCAACGAGACCATTTGGTCTCGGAATCTCGCAATGAGTTCAAGCTGCAAGAGCAGCCTGGCAAAAGGAAAAATGGTGGTCTACATCCATTCCATTAGTATTGTGTGCAATTGGCCGTGTGTACTTGGTGCACTTGTGATTGTGTGATATTTTTGCGTGTTTGTGTGTCCTTGGTTAGGGTTGACAAGATGCTTGTGTGCACACACGACACACGAATGGATACATATTTATACATATTTCGCTTGTATTTGACTTTGTTAGGTAAACTGTGGATGTTTTGGCCTGCTCTCACTTCGGCGGATATGATATGTTATGTTTGAACACCGAACCAGGTCATTGGCGAGCCAGTTGGAGGAGCGGTTGAAAGAGACCATGTCAGAGCTCTCTACTGTCCGAAGTGAGTTCTCTTCACAAGAGCATCGAATGTTGCAATTCAGCAATGGATTGGATTCTTGAATGATTTATCTTTGCGATGTTTTTGTGCGCTGGTTGGCATGCAGCTAGACAAACTACTATAGTGTCATGATGTTGAGAGTGTCATCTCCTGTTTTTGTCGCCATTTGTCGCCGACTTGGCTGGCCTATACCACGAATCGTTTGCAATCGAGGAATCCTCACAAGCCAAGCTGTCTGAAGCCGAATCCCAAATTCAACAGCACACGGCAAGAGAAATTGAGTTGGAGCAACAACTGGCGATGCTGGATAGCTCATTAGCTGCAGCACTCTCAGACAACGAGCTCCAAGCATCAGCAAAGGCAAAGTTGGAAAGGGATACTGCTACTCGGATTTTGTGTTGCTCATGTTGAGTGCATTGACATGTTTTCGACAGCATCAAGACCATACTGAGCCATACTGTGGATGTGTCTTTTCGGTCACAGCTGCAAGGGATGCTAGGAAGATCTCCATGGCCACACCCCCAAGCCTAAGGATGAACTCCAGTCTAAGCTGGCAGCGGCTGTGCAATCGGGAGACCTGCAACGCCAAGAGCAGCTTGCGCTCGAGGCCTCACGTCCTGGCATCCAACCTAATAGCAAACTATATTAGACCTGTCCTCCAACCAATTGGAAACTGTTTATAGATGCAGCTCATCAAAAGACCCAGCAACAACAAGCATAACTGCTCAGTCCAGGAATGAGTGAACAACATCTAGAATCAGGCGTCATCAAATATCCAATAAAGAATGCACTTTTGGCCGCAGGAACAGCTGGGTGGGCTCCAATCTGAGCTTGAAAACGTGAAAGGACTTTGCTGCTCGATCGCGCAGGGATGTGCTTCAATGTTGTACTAGATGCGTTGTCCGCAGGTTCATTCATTGTCCGATTCATTGTCCAAGACACGGGCACACCTTTTGGACCCTTAGGGGCGGCAATGCTAAAGTGCATACATGGTTCAACGTTCCGCCACTCTCAGGTGACACTCAGAAGAACTTGAAATCCCAACTAGAGGAGCGACTGAAAGTGACAGATGCAGAGCTTTCTGGAGCGCTGAGTAACGCAAAGGCCTTGGGGCCATGATGGGCCATGTGTGTACAGTATGGGTGATGGCAGGCTTCGATTCAATATTGTAACCTCAGTGAAAGTCTAAAAATCGGGTTTGTGAGGCTCAAGAGAAACTTGCCGCTGAGCTGAAGCAGTACTTGCAGAATGCTGAGAGTGAGTTGGTGGCAGCTAACATTGAGATGAAGGCTGGGCTGGGGAGGGATTTCCCATGGATTCTCCGCGGCTTGTGGCGACGGTGGGCTGCTCAGTTTTGTGTTGCGTTCTTGTCAGGATAAAGAGGGTGTCATTGTGTCCTTGGAGAACGACAGCAAAGAGGCCAAGGCTCAGGTGGAGCTTCTCTCGACGAAGCTCCTTGAAAGCCAGCAGGTTGTTGACAGCCACAGTGATCGGGCCGCAGAACTACAGATTCGCCACTTGGTGCGATGGTGCTATAATTGGTGAGAGTCCCTATGGATTTTATCTCAGTTCTCCTCTTCCTCGCTCCTCACTCCTTCTCTTCTGCCAGTGCGTGTCCGATCCCGCAGACTGGATGTGGGTACATTTGTCAGTACATCATAACTCATATCATCTCATATGTCAGGTAGTAACCAGGTAGTAGGTCATTTTTTGGACAGTCAGTCAGTACCTCCAGATCAGCTCTCAGGGTGGGGATCACTCGGAATAACTCGAAGTGGGTAGTTTATATTAGATAGTTCGTAATGTTTTCTCCAGAAAGTGGATGTTAGCCAAAGATTGTGAAGACCTACTGCGCCTAGGTATATCAGGTTTGGAGGAGGAGCTGACCTTGGCTCGAAAAGAGGGAGAATCCTTGCAGGGAGCGGAAGCCGATTTAAAGGCGACACTGGCGCAGAAGGAGTTTTCCTTGCTCGAGGCTTTAGCGAGCTCAGAGGCACGCAGAGCCAATGAAGCGGCACTGCGAAGTGCCCTACAGAATCAAGAGAAGCTTTTGGCAGACGAACGAGTTGCAAAAGATACAGCCGAGCGGCAACTGGTGCAGAGCGCCACTCAATTGGCAGAAATGCAGGCAGATCTGGCTGAGATGCAAATGAGTCGAGATGAGCAGAACAGTCTGACTCAGACTTTGCAGTCCCAGCTGAGAAGTAGCGAGGTCGCATTCAACGCCAAGCTGGAGGAAACTGCTCACTCTGAGTCCACCTTGCGAGAGAAATTGCAGGCGTCTGGGTTAACAGCATTTAGTAATTATAGTGATTATATACATGTAATATATACACGTATTTACCAGTGTTGTGTTGTGTTGAGTTTCGTTGAAGTTGGGGGTGCAAATGGGTTTTGGGAAGTTGCCGGTCCTTCCCCAGGAACTATCAAGCCAGCTCAATTCCAAGCGCAAGCTTCTTCCAGATCGCTCGAATGCAGATGCAGAGCCCGAGAATGAGTTCCAGCAGAAGGTCTTGGATATCCTTGCGTTTGGGGTTCTCACATGTTCTCAATGTATGTTCTTGCCATTGCAGTGTTTCACATACCACGTCGCTTAAACGTCGTAAAGAACCAGGCAAAGCAGCTGCGGAAACGTATCACTTCAGCTTTAAGACGGGCCGCAGATGCACATCATGCAACCATTGACTTGGAGATCGCACGCGTATTGCAACGAAGGGAGCCTAAGGAAGCCCGGTTGCTTCTTGGTCTTCTAACTGGTGAACATGATGCACAGCAAAATCTTCAAGATTCCTCAATAAGTATATAGTTTAATTGATTTATGTTATATTTAAAGTTGATCGCCGTTTATCCTTGGAGGCTTGGTGACCCCCGGTGCACATCGTTACTTTCCTGCTTCCTTGGTGGTGCATTGAACCGGTGCATGTTCTCAGGTTTGAGTCCACTGCTCCTGATGGTGGCGAGGCAAACCCTTGCAAATTGATATTTATGTGAAGAAGGACTCGTGTTCAAAGCATGTAAAAAAGCAACCCATGGATACCCATGGTGCAGTTGACAGCTGCCAAGAGAACTTTGTCCGTGGTCCGCGTAGCGGAGGCCATGCTCCAGACATTGCTCCACCGGCTGTCCACAAGAAGATGGCGTGCTTTGACTGAAAGCGGTTGGGAAAGGCAATGATAAATGTGTGAGCTGCAACCTCTGTCAGATTTTGGGTGCGATGGGCAGATGAGGCCTTGCCCAAGAGCTGGAAAGCCTGCTGGAGCAGGTGAAGAGCACATTGCTTCTTAGAGATGCGGAACCGACAGGCAAGCTGTTTCTGCAGGGAGGTTTTCATGAAACAAATGCCGTACGGCTGGCGCGAACAAGTCAACTGGCAGGTTCGGTCTCTGATCTTGATGAGCAACTCCTCCAAATTAACCACATGTATATCTGCACTACTTGCGAGTATTTTTTCCAGAATTTCCCAGGGAGGCTGAGCCTGGTTTTCCTTGGTGGTCCACGAGAACATGAGGTTGGTAGCTGAGCGGTTGGAGCTTGACATCGAACTCCTTGCTCGAGAACTGGTGCTGCTTCGGGCTTCCGGAGCACTGGACGAAGTGCCGTGGTCAGTGGTCAAGGCAGGTGACGCGGTCTCGACATGGGGAACGAGATGACAATGACCACATACACGAGTGACTAACCCCAAATATGTTAAAAGTGCCCCCGGAGCAAGGTTTGAAGGTGACATTTGAAGCATACGGCTGTAGGTGTGCCTCATTCCTTGCACTCGATAGTTGCTTACCTTATCCTGTGCAGGCTCTTGCCACCTTCAGCGGCATCATTTTGCCCAGGGATGGGAAGGAAGAGCCATTTCCCATGCATTGGGCAGCTGACCATGGAAGGCTGATTGGCTGCAAATAGGTTACTGAGATTTACAACATGTTCGTGGCAACAGATTCTGAGTTCTATTCCGCTCATCTTCATGCCCGCGATTCCTGTTTGTCGCCCTGTCGCAGTACTTTTTGCATCCCAGGCGGGATATCATGGAATTTCTTTTGCGGTACCCAGCAGGGGAAGATTTGCTCCTACAGCGAGATAGCCATGGACGGATTCCTCTGTTTTATGCAGAACGGGCTGGCAATGAATCCAAGATGCACTCGTTTACGAGTGGGTTGGAAGGTCATCGCGTGCAACTTATGTGACATTTGTGGCCGCCTCTCTGGGGTTGATATGCCACGTCTGCCCCGATTCAACTGCATGCTTCAGCATAGCAAGAAGACAGCCAAGGATGCTTTGGCCTTGTACTTGCGAGAACATGGGCCAGACCTCCACCCACAGGAGAGCATGCGAAATTATGGACCTCGTTCGGCTTGTTCAGCTTGTCCAACATTTTTCATTTGTCAAACACATCTTGCTACATGTTGGTTTCCTGCTAGGAGCCAACACTTCAGCGCCCATCCAGTGCCAACATTCCAGCAGCCTACGAAGAGACTCGATATCCCATAAGCCCCGTATACAACCAGATTAAATATGGTTATATAATGTTATATATATATACATATATTTGTTTTATCTAGATTATATATACATATGTATGTGCATAACTGGATCTTTGCTCGGAACTTGTGTAGAGCAAGCAATGTGTTGTTGACATAGCTGGGTCTTTGTGAGACGAACTGATTGGAAAGCTCGCACTCTCTTTGCCACTCGCATCTTTTGCCCTGCGCAGTCTTCACCTGCTGCCGCGGCGGAGCGGGTTGATGTGGCCATGGGCGAGGCCGCTTTGGACGAGGAAGTGGCGACAGAAGTCCTTCATCATGTTGGACGAGGTTCCCGAGCCGGAACATGCAGCTGCCATTGGCCTTCCCGACCCCCGAAACAGGCCACAACTCACCCGACTGTGAACGTGGGGGACCAGGACCAGGCAGTGGAGGTGGACACGGAGGCGCTTTGCCGGAAGCTGACTGCAAGCGGAGCGGATCGAGTGACGGGGGGCTGCAGGCAAGGAGGCAGGACGGAGCTTGGGCGTTTATTTCTTTTTGGTTGCCGTTTCGATTCGCCAGCTGCAGCTATCTTCCTGAGGACGCCGGGCCCGCTTCCGGGGACCGCGCCGCTCCTCCACCTGATGGATGATTTATGCTGGACAGCTGGCAGAACACCCTCCCCCCGATCCAGAAGAGCACGATGGATTAGGTCAGGTGTTGACTCACAACCTAGAATTTTTGGCGGGCTTGGCGAACCAAAATTGAAAGGAAACCGTGCCGGATGATCTTGTGCACCCCCAGCGCAGAGAGAAACATCCTTCTGCGGAGTAACTCCATTCCGCCATCAAAAAGAGGCTTTCCAAGAAGAAGCTAAGATGGGGATGATCGAGGCCCCCTTCGCCAAGGAAGTCGCAGCGAAGTGCTGTGGATGCCGCCCGGAAGGCCTTTGTCCAGGACCGAAGGCGGACAGAGATTAGGGAGGCAAGGCTCGCACTATCTATGATGAGAGTCCGGGTCAACGCCGTTGAAAAGACTACCGCCCCCACAGTCCTAGACTGCCCATGCCATCCACTGGTTGGAGGCGGCCCAAACCCTTGGGCTCCCCCAGCTGCCCTGCGCATGGGTGGCTCCCGCCTGACTACCTGGCATATGTTGAAGGCGGATGTCACCAAAGGGTGGAAATACCAGGTGACACAGATTGATGGAAGTTCGTGGGTGAACCAGATGGGCAGCTACGGCATGGCTATTGAGGCCGATCGCTGCAATCCTGCTCAGACTAGGACATTTCCTTTTTGCTGACATTGACTGGGGCTTCGTCTTCGTGGATGACTAAGGATGCCCCCTGCTAACACGTCGGTTCCTTCCTTCCTTCAGTGGGGCGCCCACTGAGCTGGAAGAAGACCGCTCTTTCAGAGACCAACTTGTGGCTTAAACATGAGATTGTCACGTCGCTCTTGCGCAAACGGACGCAGGCCCTGTGCATGCAATAGGAGAAGTAGCTGCATGAGGAAAGCAGCAAGAAAGTGTTACCTGACTTGCCTGAAACAACATTGATACAGGTCTTTCTGAGGTCTGCGTCATTGTAAATGCTGAGCAGACCCATCAAGATCCAGCACTTCAGGGCTGGAACCCTCCTGAAAGGCTCACAGGTGACCAAATTCAGCTGGCCTGACATCTGTTCCACCGCTTTCTTGGTGAACTCGTGGACCTCAATGGGCTGATGAGCTGACACATCCTAAAGAAGCATATGCTCGCAAACGCGTCCTTTCCACATTTCTCCTTCTTGTTGACAATTTATTAAGGCGACTCCTCTTCCTGACTCGAAGAAATGCAAGAAATTTTGATTTCTAGGTCGCCCAAGGTCCTTCCTACAAAAGAGCCCGGACGGCTGCATCCGTCGGTCTACTGCCTACCTTTCATTGGAGAAAGTGTGGCCCTCCTGCCTGCATTCTTGTTTTCTGATACCATTTTGAGCAGGCCAACAACTTCAGGCAACCTGTTGTGGACTTGAGCTCAAAAGGGACGGGCACCATCATCAGCTAGTGGTAAAAGGCTGCAGGGGAGCTTCTTAACAGCCGCAACCGTGCCGTTTTCAATTCTGTTCACATACTGACATACATACATACATACATACAGCCAGCCAGATTGACAGACAGACAGACAGACAGACAGACAAGACAGGCAGACAGACAGACAGACAGACAAGACAGACACACAGACACACATACACATACAAATACAGACTGGCTGACTGACTGACTGACATACAATCATACATTTTAGATTCACAAACTTGTCAGCTGCAGCGGTGCAATCACAGAATACAGTTGGCAGAGGCAGAAAAAGATAATAGAGTAGAAAAGAAAGTGGGGCATGTCATGCGCACCAAGGATGTCATCAAGGTAGTTGAGGAGAGAGGCACTTTTGTGTTCAATCGTTTTCCGATGCATTGAACGCGTTATTTGTGTTGCTTGATTGATCAGACCAGCATGCTTTCTCGATTGCACAGATATCACTGCGTTTGGTGGGCAGGCTGGCATGCAGTAAATTGGATTGAAGGATTTACATTGTTGCATTGGGCAGCTGAGAAAGGTCTTGCCGACTTCTGCCGGCAACTTTGGTTGAACTTTTGCCAATGCCCATGGCAAAGCAAAATGGCGTGGGGGGTTCACATGCTTGCAGTTGTTCCATTTGTTTCCCGGGCGCTCAACCCCACTGTGCTGGTGACCGGTGTTTTGGCATGGCTGGACACCACCAATCCAAGAGGTTTGTTTCTTGTGTCCGCTGACTGAGGTACTTTGTTGCACTGAATGCAGACCCCAATGCCACCGACAGCCGGGGGCAGCTTGGAAGCATCGTTATATAAAATGCCCCATTATTGTGCGGATGCGTCAACAACTGCTCAACACACCAATATACATCAACCAGCTGTAAAATGTTTTTGTTGTTGTCCTTGGTCCTTGGCCATTGGAACCCAGGCGGACAGCTCTTCAATGTGCAACCGATTCCCATCAAAATGACGCGGAGCTCGTGCTCAGGGAACTAATGGGTTTGGAAACGCAGCCTTGCAGCAGAAATGCGAAGATCAATGATCCGAACAATCATGTTTGGCCAGGTTTTCAAAAGATTGACAGTAAATATAAATGATTGCATTTTGGTGTGTTTTTTTGGTGGTGAAATTTGTATTGACAAACGATTTCCACCGCAGCTGGTCAGAAAGGATTGCTGACGCTCGAATGAAGGACGAGTGCGGCAGTATGGTTCGAAAATTTTGGCACATTTTTCTTTAGTTTTTGGCATAATGTGTATTGTGTCGAAGGTCAATTGGAGAATATGAATTTCTTGCCCAATGTGCAAGCAGGCAATGCCTGATTTCGCCACACCTGCGCGTGGTTTTCCTGCTCCGTCCCTGCAGGAGCCATACTTCCGCCCGAGAAGTAACAGTGAGGGACCTGAGTCATCGCATTGGCCGACCGAGTCGCGGAGAGCCACGGTTGTACAAGCTGTCAGGTGGGGACACCAGAGTGAAGAGAACACCAGAACACCAAACACATTGTCTCTCTCTTGTTTTCTTATTTTTGTTGTTTTGCGCCTCTTGATCTTGGCTGGGGCTGCATTCAGGCAAAATTTATCACAATCAGGATCGTCAGAGGGAATTCCTGAAGCATATCTCCGCGTTTCAATTGCAAGCAGTTGTTTTTCCTAAATGTTTAAAGTTCGTAAGCTGGTTGGCTGAGATTTTTCAGATGTTGTTTGACATGTGACTTGGACATATGCCACTATGATAGGCGGTAGCAGCACGATCCCCAGTTCTACGGCATGCATGCTCAGCATCTTACAACCAGGTGTGATGCAGCAGATTGACCAGATTGGATGGGATAAGATGTGCTGGGGGCGCGGATTTACTTTGCTTCACTGGGCTGCCAAGCATGCCTCTTGCCTTCAATCAACAAGGGCGCACCCCGAATCTTCCCACACGCTGTCACCTTGCGACCTTAAGTGCCCAGAAATGTCGAGCAAGTTTCTGCCCAGGACAGAGCTGACTTGTGCGAATCAAAGCAGCACTAGCACCGTCCAGTTGCTTATGTCCTTGAGAATTTGTTCAGGTGGTCCGCAGCAGGTAACCTTCAAATTAGATGCGCGTGCAGTTTAGTTTGATCAAGATTTTGTGGGAAGTTTTGGGCGCTCAAGAAAAGGCTAAAAGCACTGGCCCCCACACACACACCATCTCAGGATGATTTCTGGGAGTCTCAGGGTTAATGGTTCATCTCTAGTGCCAGATTGAGCAGATGCAGGATAGCACGCAGAAAGAAAATGTTCCCCTATGAAGTTGCGTTACAGAAAGAGTCAGGAACTCTTCTTGTGGCATGGCGCTGATCCTGAACATCGCGATGATAGCAACCGCTCTGCCTTTGATTATGCTCGGCTACGTCAGCCCCAAGCCCTGGCAGCACTGGATGTGCTTCAGAGAGGCGCGAACAGCATGAGCACTTGATGACAGTACGGGCCGTGCAGGGGCCAGACGGATAAGGTGCAAATTCCTTTTATGCGTTTGGGTGGGACTTACTCGGACACTCCAAGTAGGCAACAAATTTGAGTAATTTGTTAATGTGTCATTATCACATATCATCACTGTTTTGTTTGGTGGTTTAACTTCGAAGCGGTGCTTGCTGCCTCGGCCATTGTACGAGGCAAGCCAACACAGAGGCCGACAGTCCAGCTGCCAAAGGTTCCTCGAGAACAAAGATTGTTTCCTTCTTCTGCGAATCCTTTTTGGTTTTAGGATGCTTTAGGATTTTGAATTCTTAGTGTTAGACCATACAAGGCACGAGCCTACTTGTAAGTCCAGGAATGTAAGCCTGTGCAAGATGTTTCTGGATTTTGCCGAGCCTAGGTGGGATGAGGAGATGGCAATGTACATTTGAGGCTGTTCCCATTGGGACCAAAGACCGTGCCAATGGGAACCACCTCTCAGAACCAGCAAGGGTTCAAGGCAACATTTGTGGGAAGCTGATGAGTCCTTTTTTAGGTCCGTGTTGCCAAATGTGGCTTTTTGTAGGCCAGATGTTTCGATTCATTGCATGCACCTTGGGCTGTAATCACAGCGAGGCCAACAATTAGGTGTGGTCCAATTCAAAATTCACTTGCATCCTGCACGAGTGAAATGGCACAATCATTCGTATGGGCACCCTTGTGCGGTATGCCCTTCTGGGCTTGAACGAGCGATCGTGCAGGTGTGCTTGCCGCGTTTTATGGCATATGGAGCACAGCAGTTGTAGCTGCTCACCAAGCTCGCAAGTCCCCGTTCAGGACGGCCAATGGAGCATCAAGTGGTCAAAGTGCGCGGCAGAATAGGCTTACATAGCAACTTAACAGTCTGGCTTAACACTGAAGCGAGGCTTGGGCCCCCTTGGGAGAATTGCCTTTTGCAAACTTCCACTTACCCGTTAGTTACAAGCTGGCTATATATACCTAGAGCCCAATTTACCTCTGTTTTGATAGGAAAAGACCTTATTTTGGGCAGTTGGTGATCCAAAATAGAGGTCATTCAGGTTCTAGGTATATATAGTATAGTATTTAGTTTGTCGAAGACAGTTTTGTTGTTGCCAGTCGTTGTGTTGCTGGCTGGAGTTGTGGGGGGGACAGCCTCTATGGGAATTACAGTCCTGTGAGGGCGTCCAATCATCGTCCTCGCGGACCCAGATCAAAATTCCGTTTTGGAATGCCTTTGGTCTTTTGCAGCACTATATGTTGTAGGAGTACCTTTTCTGGAGATGTTTTGCGCCCCAATCGGGACACAAAACGATCCAAATTGATTAATGCACATAAAACGGAAGGTCTTCCTTATGGAGCTGGTGCGGAGTAGGGCTTAAGGTTCAGATGATGCCACGTTGATGTCAGCCTGACTAGTCAAGTCTCAGTCTAATTTGCCTAGGTCCTACGTAAGCTCTCCGGCATGCTGATAGAAAAAACTTCACCGACATGTTTGGTGGAATTGTTGAAGTCGCCTTCTTCTTTCCCAAGAGTTAATGTATTAACGCGCCGATCGGGTGGTTCGGCGTGCCTTTATTGATAAAAGCAATAGGTTTGGAATTGTTATCCCTGGGGCAGGCAATATGTATTTTCACAAGGGCCACGCATTGATTTTATTGATTAAAGGCAGGCATCAGGAGGTCTCATCTTTCTGATACAATATGTTCTTATTAATCTTTTTACTAGCCCATGAAAATGTAAACAATAAACTTATTTATAACTAAATATATAATTAGAATATTAATAACTATATATAAAGGGAATTGTAAAAACAATATTAATAACTATTTGAAATATATATATATATCATATATTTATGTTTAAGTTATTTTTAGAAGGGGTGACTATGGGGCCTGGATCTTCGTTTTTATATAAAAACCAAAAGAACCTTGGGAAAGCAAAAACATGTTTTAGAGACTCTTGGTTGGACGTTCCCCTTTTTAAGGTTTTATTAGAATGTGTTTTTGTCTAAATTGTTGATTTAGATTTAGTTTTTTGTGTAAAATTATTCGATAATTAATAAGAAACATAAAGAATAAATATCAAAAATAAATTCAAAAGATAGTTTATGTTAATAATTTAAATACCTAAATAGAGTAATTAAAATTATGTGTGTTTTTTAATAGTGAAATTATAGCGGCCTTCTGCCATAATAAAGTCTTCGGAATAGATTCGGAGCAGGTTCCAAAGGACGTTCCGGAGTAGGTTCCGGTGGGAGCGAGTGTGAGTGGGAGTGAGTGGGTGATTGTGAGTGAGAGTGAGGACGGGAGTGTGAGGGTGAGAGTGTGAGAGTGAGTGAGTGTGAGGAGTATGAGTGGGAATGGGAGAGTGGGTGGGTGTGAGTGCGAGCGTGAGTGAGAGTGAGTGTGGGTGAGAGTGAATGTGAGTGTGAATGAAGAGTAAGTGAAAGAATGAAAATGAGAATTTTAAAAAAATAATTGAGAACATAAAATGTTTAGATTAAATTTTATATTTTAAGATTTATAAAATATTCATTTATAACGAAATTTGTATTTCGAAAATTATTATGATAATATATTGATTATGGAATGTATATATCGAAATTTATAAAATGTTATATTTATGAAATTTATAATATTGGATTAATTAAATATTGTATCTTTATGAAATTTGTATTTTAAAAATTATTATATCGAGATTTCGGACGTGTCGTATTAAATTTGTTAAATGTTTATTTGTCGCGAAATTTATATTTCGTGTTTGTTGCGAATTTTCTATATCGAGGTTTATAAAATATTATATTTATTATGAAATTTGCATTTTAAAATTTATAAAGTATTATATTTACTTTTTTTTTTGGCACGAAATTCGCATTTCTAGATTTATTAAGTATTATATTTATTATGAAATCTATATTTCGAGATTTATAAAATATTATGTCTGCCACGAAATCTGCATTTTGAGGTTTCTAAAATGATATGCTTGCTACCACGAAATTTGCCTATTAAGGATCCTAGCTAGAATATTGTATTTGACACGAAATCTGCAAACGAACCACATATCTAAAAATCACGATTGAATATACCTATTATAAAATTTAAATTCCTGGACAATTATTTTTATGTCTAAAATATTGCACTTATTACGAAAGTTGTATTTCTAAATAAAAGAGTTCCGATCCTTTTATTATTTTCTTATCAATATCGTGTAGGGGGTCCTGGCATTATTTTTATAGATATGAAATGGCGGGATTGACCCCCCCTGGCTAAAAATGATTATCTAAAAAGAATTGAATTTCTATAAAAGGAATGAATCGATTCTCTTAAAAAGATTATATAAAAGATTGTCAAAATATACAGATATTATAATATGAACAAATATCGTTAATATTTCAAATATAAATCAAAATTGCAAAACAATTTGATTTATAATATTTTGCAAAATTGCAAAGTTATGCAAAATCATAAGGAACCTTCAGGTCATCAGATATAAAAAAAAACAAGATGCAACCCACGAACCCGAATGCAAACACAATCGAAAAACTAATATATCCAAATGACACTCTTGTAGGACATTCTTGTGGGACACTCTTCTGGGAAGGACACTCTTGTGGGTCGCTCTTGTAGGAAATTCTTGTGAAACACTCTAATGGGACACTGTTGTGGGACAGTCTTGTAGGACACTTTTGGGGGACACTCTTGTCGGAAACTCTTGTAGGACACTCTTGTGGGACATTCTCGTGGGACACTCTTTTTGGACACTCTTGTGGGACACTCTTGTGGGACACTCTTGTGGGACACTCTTGTAGGAAACTCTTGTGGGACACTCTTGTAGGACACTCTTGTGGGACACTCTGTGGGACACTCTGGTGGGACACTCTTGTGGGACACTCTTGTGGGACACTCTTGTGGAACACTCTTGTGGGACACTCTTGTGGGACACTCTTGCGGGACACTCTTGTGGGACACTCTTGTAGGACACTCTTGTGGGATACTCCTGTAGGACACTCTTGT